CCCCCCACTGGAACTGGAAAGCAAATTGGGGCCTTCGGGTCGGATTGGGGTGGTCTGGTGGGTGGCGAGGTGAACGGCCTCGATGGTGGCGGCGGCAGTTGCGACTGCGCCTCAGCGCCGAGGGATGAGCCTCCTCGCCCCAGAAATCCCCGAGCGCGTGCGCGCGATGGAGACAGCGCTCGTCGGCGGCGCTTGCGACAACGGCCGGCAACGACGACGACGAACGCTGGAACGATCTCCCGAACGCTGGAACGCGCCCCGAGGCAGGCAAGCCTCCAGGGACCGATGGAAACGCCCAAACAGTCTCCACGCCTGGGTTGGCGGCGCGCACCAGGGGCCATGGCGGGGGGGGAAAGGCCTCCTTAGGAGGAGGCTGCTTCTCAACAAGTCCCGCCCTGCATCGATAGAGAAGGCCCGCGCCTTCTGAGAAGCCGGGGTGATTCTAAAAGGCCTTCCCCCCCTCCCCCTACAGTAGGGGCCCGACCACAAGAAGCATTCCACAAGAAACCCAACCCTGAGACCCCAGGACGTCCATCGAGCTTTGGTGTGGGAACGTCACGCTTTCCATAGTAAAGCTACCGAAATCCAAGAAACGCAGGGCACCCTGGAGGCGAGTAAGGTGAAGGTGTCTCTTGGCATGGGCCTACGCTGTAGTCTTGGAGGCCTCCCAGATGAGGTCCGAGCAGATGGGGCCAGAGGATCTCGCCACATCGCCGACACCTCGGCGATGCATCGCCGATGCATTGGCGATGGATCGGCAATGCAGTGGCGACGTCGGTGATGCATCGGCGACGACGGCGTGGAGAACTTTGGGTCCCACATGGAGCCGCATCGCCGATGAATCGGCGTCCTCCGACCCCATCTACTCCGACCTCATCTAGGAGGCCTAGAATTCTGAACGAAAAGAACAATCCCCACCCCCACCAGGGAAACCTTGGCCCCGCTGGGCAACCTAACTCCCCTGAGGTGGGGATGGGTACTGTCTCGTTCGGGGTTCGGAGCACCCATCCCCACCTGGAGGGGGTAGGTTGGAAGAGACAACTCACCCTGCCCGAAGGGGGGTGGGAATGCTTCCGACGATGGTGTCATATGTCGCCGCATCGGCTATTGTGAAAGCGCCCAAGTAGACGAAGCCGGCACTGCGCCAGAAAAGTGGTGAGCCCTGTGCCCGAAGCGAGTTTGCCCCAATGGCCGAGGCGCACTCCCAAAGACGGAAGGCCGCACGTCGGAACGCATGGCGCGGCGACGTGCCGTATCTTTCCCTCGACGGAGGTCGAGTTCTCTGGGGGAGGGGGAGCAACACATCGCCACGGCTTACCGCGGCGCCTCGCCGCTGGCACCCGACAGTCTGTCTGCACGGCGACGGGGAGCGATGGAGAGGGAGAGAGAGAGAGAGAGAGATAGAGATAGAGAGAGAAACAAAACACAAAAAACGCAACTGGACAGGACAAGGCTAGAGGAAAAGCTCCCGGGCAAGAGAGGTCTGCTTACGGCAAGCTCGTGTCGACCGTGAGGGCCGTTCACAGCCTCGGACGATCGTCCTTTGCCGAAGCGCTGGCCCGCTCGGCACCAACCGACCCTGGGTCGCGGGGTGCCCGAGCAGCGGAGCGCGGGGGACGGCGAGCGCGCACACAAGGCGCCAGGGCAGGCGGGAAGAACCAGCGGGAGGAAAAACGCCGTCGCCTGGGATGAAGCGTGCTCGGCGGTGGAGAAACCTCCCTTTAGTAAACCTCCCTTTGATGAAAAACGACCCAAGACCGAAACCGGCGGACCTGGGCCCGCAAAATGACGGCCGCGACGCCCTCTCGCGAACCGAAAACGGCCAACTCACTAATCGACGTGTCGGGGTAGGAGGTCTATCCACCTCCGAGCACTCGCAACTGAGCCCAGACCGTACCGTCAGCCCGCGCAAGAGTGGCGCGCGAGGAGGATGTACACCCTGCGAAATTTTTAAGAAATCATGGGTTAAGAAATTCATAGTCTCAGAACTTGAATAAAAGCCAACATTTCTATGAAAATCTTGGGATGTACACTGAAACGTTAAGAATACTCGAGACTCTGGCCGAAAACTTGGGTTTTCTTAAGCATCGCCTAGGGTGTAGGGGCCTCGGGAGGCCACGGCGGCACTCCGCGGGCGGGGCGCGGCCAGCCCATGGCGGCCAGGGGTGGGCCGGAGGGCTGACCGTGCACGCGACCCGCATCGATTTGCATGACCGTGCACGGGCCGAGCTTGCGTACACCCTGCGAAATGCTTAAGAAATCATGGGTTAAGAAATTCATAGTCTCAGAACTTGAATAAAAACCCAACATTTCCATTCAAATCTTAGGATTTACACTGAAACGTTAAGAATAATCGAGACTCTGGCCGAAAACTTAGGTTTTCTTAAGCATCGCCTAAGGTGTACAAATGGGCCAGCGACAGGCGAAGCATGCGCGGGCACGCGACTCTGGCCCCCTGAGGTAAAGGAGATCAGTATACGTGCCAATGTCCCCACTCCGTGTGAGCTCAGAATCCCGCCAGCCGCCAGCCCTTCAGGGCGTGAGTGGTTCAGAGAGCTTCTTCTTTCACCCCCGATTCTTCCCCTTCGGAGAAGGGTTCACCCCTCCCCTACCCCTGGCCTACCCCTTATCCCTGGACCTGGACCTGGAGGGGGCCTTCCAGGAGGGGCTGGAGCGTCCAAGATAGCCTCGGCGAGGAAGCCAAATTCATTGATTGTACTCGAAGCTTGGACCTCCCTTTGGCCTCCTGGGGGGACCTAATTGAGGAGCTCCCCTCCTTTGATCGATCTCCTCCTAGATGGCCCCAAGATGGCCCACGAGGCTTTCAAGGGTGCCCCGAGACGGCCCCAAATTGTGCCCAAGAGGCCCCCCAGAGGCCCCCAGAGGCCCCCAAGAGGCTCCCCAAAGACCCCCAAGAGGCTCCAAGAGACCCCCCAGAGGCACCCTAGACGCCCCAAGAGGCCCCCAGGATGGCCAAGAAATCCCCAAGACACCCCAGGAGGACAACAAGAAGCTATTGAAAGAAATCCGAAGAGACTCCGAGATGCATCAAAGAGGCCTCTGGTCTTTCTGCTGGCCCTCCTGCTGCTCCTCCTCCTCCTCCTCCTCCTCCTCCTCCTGATCCGCCTGTTCCTCCTCCTTCCTCGTCCCTCCTCCCCCCTCTCCCTGCTCATTCTCTTCCTCCTCCCCCTCCTCATCCTCATCCTCATCCTCCTCGTCCTCCTCCTCCTCCTGTTGCTCCTCCTCCTATTCCTCCTCCATCCTCCCCCTCTAGGGGCACGATGCCTTACTCAGCCCTTTCAATCCATCGCGGTCTCCTTCACAACCCTGATCATGGCAGCTCGTCTGGGCATCCTTTCTGGGAGGGATGGTGGGGTTACGCGAAGCGCCTAGGGTAGTTCAGCCAGCGTTCAAAAACAATTTGAAATGTAAGACAAGTTGAACAGAACGCTGCTGCCTTGCCCGGCAAACATGAAACGTGGAACTGCTGCAGGCCGCGAGCACGGCCGCCTGTCCCCGAAGTCCGCCTGGCCCAGCAGCAGCGGACACAAAGGCAGGCCAGTGCGAACACAGAGGCATGCGAGATACTCAAGCCGCACACGGGTCCAGATCCGGCCGTCACTGCCGCTTCGCATCTCCCCCCGCGCCCTCCCTGACCCTGCTCTGGGCTCGGGGCCTCCTGCTCCCGTCCTCCTCCTCGTCCCGCTCCTGGCCGGTCCGCGCAGCACTGGGCCGGAACGGAGAAACCACAGCTACTGGTCACTGCTGCTGGCTCCACGGGCAGGACCACATGTTGGCCCAGCGTTCATCAATTCGGGGTTGACGAGGACGGGGATTTGTTTCTTTTTGTTTTTGAAAAAAAGTGTCGAGAACGGGGAGTAGCCGTAGCTAAAAGGGCGGGGTGGAGCAGGAGCTTGCACGCGGGAGGCTTCTCCGGCGCCAGGGCGCGACGGATGCCGCCGTGCATCGAGAGACGTGCCCCGCGGCGGGGCCGGAGTCACCTGCATGTGACACCTCTCGCAGTCCTCCCCGCCCCCACCCTCCCAACCATCGAAAACATGAGTTTCGGGCGTTGGCAGAACTGGGTTTAGTGGAACCTGGTTTAGTGATTTGTACCGGGGGCGCCCCCCCGCCCCATTTCCTCTAACTGAAACTGCCGTCACCCGAAAAACACCAGTTACGGCAAACCTGGTTTAGTGGATCTGGCCAATTGAGGGGCCCCAGGGCCCTACCACTAAGCGGGTCCCCTTACCCGGGGTCCTGGCTATACCCGAGATCTTTCCTGAGGGAATCGAGCTCTACACACCGACGCTTCTTCCGCCCATGCATTCGAATCTGCACTGGAGAGCGGATTCTGGTGTATACGGGGCCCTGGTGTGTACATGTTTCGTTGTTTCCCCGGTACATCGGGGGAAGAAGTACACACCACACCACCCCAGCGTCGTCCTCGACCATCAAGAAATCCTGGGATTGAACAACAGCACGCCACTGGTAATGTACATGTTCCAGTTCCCGATGTTTCACAGTCCTCCCTGCCCCACCCTCCAACCTTCGACAACGTGATTTTTTCACGCGAACCATACGGAAGGGGCCCTGGCACACACAAATAAATAGACACAAATAACAGGATCCCCCCCATAACTTCCCATATTTTCGGGGTTTCTCTCTTCCCCCCCCCACTTCCCATGTCTTCCCATATCTTATCGGGGGAGCCGACGATCACCTGTGTCTGTGTGCGTTTTTTCACGCAAACCATGCCCCGCCCACCTTCCTCGGGTCGGGCGAAAGGGGGGGATAGCAAAGGGGGGGTTTGAGAATCAGCTCACGTAGCTGATTTTCCCGGCGCCTCCCGGCGCCGGGAGGCGCCCATGTATCGAGGAATGGGCCCCTCTGTGGGGCCGAAACCAGCTGCATGCAGCAAATTTCGTAACCCCCCCTTTCCCAATCCCCCCCTTTCGTCCGGCCCACCTTCCGCCCCCCGGCTCCGTCGCCCGCCCCGATCAGACGTCCTGCGCGGCCCTCGCTGGCTGGGCGAACACCCCCGGAGGGCCGCACGCCGCTGGGGAGGCCTGCGCCGGCGGGCCGGCGGCTGCTGCCGCCTGCCGCTCCCGCTCCCGGTGCACCTTGCGCTGCACCCGGCGCCGCTGCGCGCGCGACTTCGGCTGGAACGAGCGCTCGGAGCCGCTGTCGCCGCACCCCGAGCCCGAGCCCGCCGCCTGCGCCAGGCGCGCTGGCCACGGGACCTCCTCCTCGCGCGGCAGGGGGAGCCCGAGGCCGACCAGGCGCACCCTCCTCGGCTCCTGCGGGAGCTCGCCCGCGTGCAGCCACGCGGCGGGAGTCGAGGCTGCGTAGCTGTCGTCGAAGCCCACGGGGGTCACGACGGCGGGGACGCCCGCCCGGCTGAAACTGACGGAGTGATGATCCTGGAGTGCGGCGCTGGCGGGGACAGGGGCACGCAGCGCCTTCATCATACAGCAAGTGCGGTGCGCTGCAGAGAAGCCGCTGTGCCGGCCTCTCTGGCTCAAGTGTGGGTCACCGAACGTCTATGCTGTCACGTGCGCTCAAACCTTGGGCCAAAATGGCAAGGACCGTCCGGCTGTCTATTTAGTCGCCCATTTTGTCAACGCGCCTCTGATGTGCACGGCTTCTGTCCTCTCCTCTCCTCCTCCTCCTTCTCCTCTTCTTCTTTTCTCCTCCTCCTCCTCCTCCTCCTTGTCCTCATCCTCCTCCCCCTCCCTTTCTTCCACCTCCTCCTCCTCCTCCTCCTCCTCATCATCATCATGATCACCACCACCACCACCACCACCACCACCACCACCACCACCATCATCATCATCATCATCATCATCATCATCATCATCATCATCATCATCATCATCATCATCATCATCATCATCATCATCATCATCATCATCATCATCATCATCATCATCATCATCATCATCATCATCATCATTATCATCATCATCACCATCACCATCATAATAATAAGCATCATCATCACCATCATCATCATCATCATCATTATCATCATCATCACCATCACCATCATCATCATCATCAGCATCATCATCATCATCATCATCATCATCATCATCGTGAACATCAGCTTCATCAGCATCATCACCATCGTTATCAGCATCATCATCATCATCACCACCAGCATCAGCATCAGCATCAGCATCATCATCAGCAGCAGCACCAGCACCAGCACCAGCACCATCATCATCATCATCATCATCATCATCATCATCATCATCATCATCATCATCATCATCATCATGGTCAGCATCATCACCATCATCAACATCACCATCAGCAGCAGCATCAATATTACCATCAACAGCAGCAGCATTAGCATCACCATCATCAGCATTATCATCAGCATCCGCATCATCATCACCACCACCACCATCATCATCATCGTCATCATCATACTCATATTCATCACCATCATCACCATCATCGTCATCCTCCTCCCTTCACCAGCATCTCTACCACCATCAACAACAGGAGCATCATCACCATCTCCATCACCATCGTCATCACATCATCACCACCATGATGATGATCACCATCATCATAATCACCGTCGTCATCATCATCACCATCGTCATCATCATCACCAGCATCATCATCAGCAGCAGCACCAATATCACCATCATCACTATCATCAGCATCATCATCATCATCATCATTATCATCACCGTCCCCATCCACAGCATCATCATCATCATCATCCACATCAGCATATGATTCATCCTCCTCCTCTTCCACCTCCTTCTCCTCTTCTTTCTCCTCTTCGGTGTCCTTCTCCTTTTCCTCCTCCGTCGCCGCATTCTCCCTGTCCTCTTCCCCCTCCTCCACCTCCGATCTCCTCTTCTCCCCCTCCTCCTCCTCCTTTTCCTCCTCATCATCATCGTCATCATCATCATCAACGGCATCATCACCATCATCAGCATCATCGTCATCGTCATCGTCATCATCATCATCAGCATCAGCATCTTCATCATATTCATCAACATCCCCCCTCCCCTCCTCCTCCTCCTCCTCCTCCTCCTCCTCCTCCTCGTCCTCCTCCTCCCCCTTCTTCCCCTCCTCCCCCTCCTCTCCCTCCTCCTCCTCCTCCTCTTTACTGGGATATGCTTTCGGGTGGCGCTTCACCCACCCATCCCCTTTCTGTTTTCTTGAGGCCACGAATCCTCGTACATAATTTGGCGCACGCTCTCCCGACGCATCGCGCTTTCGTAAGTTATAGTGAGAGCGCGTTCCCGCGACAACCATCCCTGCTTAATATTTACAGACGGGCGCAGACGGCCAGCCAGCAAGCAAATCAAATCAAATGGCAATTAACAACTTAGATAATAAACCGATCGGCTGGTGCCAGCCGCCCAACCGACATTACTTTCCCAGCTAAGAAGCCGAATCGCAGCGAAGGGCTTCTGAATTGTTGATGTCCCAGAGATGCGGGCGATGAGGATGCCACCGTTGATGCTGCTTATGGTGATGATGGCTGTGGTGATCGCATTGTCTTTCATATGATCCTACATAATGCCCCTCTACTGTGGCTGAAATCCGCCGATGTGCTTTACGTATGTTCCTATGGATTGACCGTTTCTCTGGTTCGTAACCTCTCCGCGGGGAGTGTCGCGCAAGCAGACAGACGAGCGCCACGCAGGCAAAGTTGCGCAGCGGAAGCAAGCTCAAGAACACTACATCGACAGGATGAAGCAAATTCGCGTCGGCAGGCTGTTCGGAACTTTTCGCCTTCGCCTGACTCGAACGGCTACGGGGCTCTGGACAGCAACAACAACAGCGGAGTCAGAACCAGGAGCGTCGGAACGTGGACGGCGACGCTGGTGAAGGTGGTGCTGATGCTGATGATGGTAGATGTACCTATTGGAGATCTAACTCCGCTGAATGGTGCTGCGTGGTGCTGAACTCTAAATGGTACTGCACAACGTCGTCGCTGTTCCTGGCGCCACTGTCAGCGCTGCTGCTGCCCGGGGAGGGGGGAGGAGGGCGCATGACGAGGATGACGATGACCGTGGCGAGTTGAAGATATCCTTCGATCAATGCATCATGACGGTACCACGGCGATCCAAATATTACGAGGTGAGGCTGTTAGATCAAGATGCATGATAGTCCCAAAATGGCGCTGAGGGTGATGGCCACGATCAACGGAAACTGCTTGTCGAGTTCGCTGGGGAACACTTCTGCCGGCGAAACAGCGGCATGTTCGCTGGGGAGGGCGCGAGACAACCGAGGCGGCACAGGATGGGCAGCACCGTGGTCGCGAGAGCAGGGAGCGCCGCAACGGGCTGAACAGCACCACGGTCGCGAGAGAGCACGGCGCGGGACCGAACGCAGGAGGGGGCGCAGGACCGCGAGCCTCCGTCGGCAAGCTAACGAGCATTGCCGAGAGACGGTAGTCCAACAGGTACGGGGATCCGGAAGGCCCCCGCCTGCGCGCGCGCTGCGGAGCGCGCGGGCCGCCTCCGCGGGCCGCGCGCCAGCGAGGCTTGCGAGGGCGCTCGCCGCGCGAGAGCGCCACTCAGTGGACGCGGGGCGCACACGGAGCCCAGGAACGCCTGCTGGACATCCCCTGCGCGCTCGACTCGGTGAACGCGAGGAGGCTCGACGACCCGGGCCTGTTGCGCATCCTCGAAGCCACGCGGACCGTGGGCGGCAAGCAAACCAGAGACGACGTCTGGGCCCACCTGAGAGCCAGCCTGCCACGAAAATGACCCTCGCCTCCGTGACGCGCGGGGCCGGTACGAGTGCGCGCACGAGTGGCACGGGGCGTCCTTCGCCATGCACGTGCACGCGCGTCTGCACGCCAAGCACGCGCGCAGAATACTCTTCTCTACCTTCCAACAATCGACAGGCCTTCAGCTGGATTCACCCGGAAGGCCTACGACGATATGCGCGACTGCGCCAACATCGATGCGACCCCCAAGTCCTCCCTGTGTACGTGGGCATGCAGATGGTACTCATTGAGTTTTACTTGCCTCGAGTGGTACGCGGCGCCCCTGTGAAGGTCGTGGATGTTGAGCTCCACCCGCAGGAGCCCCCCGTGGCCGTCTTGAAATTCATTCCAGTCGCCGCCCACGTAAGGGTTTCACGACGGATACCAATCAACTTCCTACGTTCCAATCGTAACTCTGAGCCAAATCGATCCAACACACCATAGTGAACGGTGTTGGACCGAGCTCCAACTTCGCCCCCGAGCAGGCCCCAAGAGGCCAACCAAGATCACCGACACCCCGTGAATGTTTCAAAGATGTCGCCGCTATCGCCGTCCCGCGCCTTCAGCACTTCCAGAGAACCCAGGAGGCGCCCAGAAACGCCCTGAGGCGGCCCTGAAGGCCCCTTTTCGAGGGCCCGAAGACGGCCCAAGAGGGCCCCGCGACGGCCGAGCAGGACCCCATGAAGGGCCGAATATGGGCCCAAGAGGGCAAAGGGACAGGGCCACGGGAGCTTGCCCACGAACCATTACTGCCAAGACCCTTAGCATGCCCCCAGGGGGCCCCCCAAGACACCCCCAACAGGCCACAATATGCATAAAGACGCAACACGAACAACTCTGTAGGTGGTCCCCGAGGGGCAATACCTTCATGTTTCTCCTCTCCTCCTCCTCCTTTTTCTTCTCCTCCTCCTCCCCCTCCTCCTCCTCCTCCTCCTCCTCCTCCTCTTCATTGCCATCCTACAACTCCGCCTCTATCCGTGGCCTTCTGGCTCAAGCTCCTTTCGCGGCCCAGCAAGGCCATCGCCATCGCCTCCGCCTCCTTGTGTGCGCCTGGCTGTGGCTGCTCGCGGCGGCGGCGCTATGGCGCGCGACGCTCCTCCCGGACCAGCAGGGGCTGGCCGATGTAGCCGCGACGGGCGCGATCGCCGCACGGCCAGGAGCCAGTCAACAGTCCAGGGAAGCTATATGGTCTGTTCAACGCCATCATGTGGGGGATGGTCGTGGACGGACCTTCAGCATCGCCATTGTGGGAAACGTGGTGCCAATTTTGCAGTTTCATCGACTCCGCCACCAGCACCAGCGAACACCCGCTCTGCGTCAAAAAGCCGTGCCAACCGCTGGTCGCGAAGCAGCCAAGTACACTTCGTCGACACCGCCGCTGACCTCGACCCAGTCTCGGTCTGCATCAAAGCGGTCACCTTTTGGAAGAACATCGAGGGGGTCAGCGGATCACACTACAAGCCGGCGCAGGAGGAGCTCAAGGCGGCCAAAGCGGCGGCTTTGGCTTCAAAGACGCCCGGCCAGCAGACGCATCGCCTCAATGCCCAGCTCGCAGCTCAGCGCGAGAGGCTGGCGGGCAAGCAAAAGGACGCGAACTGGCACATCGAGAAAGCGGAGGAGCACAACCGCAAGTACACGGAGGTGGCCAAGGAATGCTCCGAGATGCAGCGCGAGACTCAACAGTTGGAGGCCCTGCTCAAGGTGGCTGCCACCGCGGCCGTG